TATTCCACTTCTCAGACCATTGTGCAACGTCCCAATAGACACTCTGGTTAACCCAATCCATATGACCCATACCGATATACCATCCATAATATCGATTCACATAGATTACATCAACCAATTTTGGCTAAAATATTTGTGCATTTAATTTGGCTTTTGACATATGGGCAAGATGACTCACAGTTTTGTCGTTGTCAATATCTTTTGGAATGTTGCCGACAAAAGACTTTGGGCCACCGTAGACAATGGTAACTGGGCGAGTTTTGTCGAGTGCATGAGCACGATCGACGAGGCTTCTAAAATATATGCTCTAACGCAGGTAAAAAGAAAAGCTGACCTTTTTATACTCTAGAACTATAAGTTAATAATTTTGAAGAATTTTTAAAATATTTCTCAGATTTTTCATCATATAAAAAGGATATCAGCTACTGAAAAATTCTCTTGATTTTACTTCGGACAGGATCATTGACTGAGAAGATTTTTATATCCTATAATCGAAGAGTATTCAAAAGTAGGTTATTTATTCCAAGCCCCCTTTCGTTCATTTTCCTTGAAGCAGTACTCAGAGAGAATGCTTTCAGCAGCTCTTTTTTGCGAAGTGAAGCGAACCTTTTAAAAATGGTTCTTGCTTAATTTATGATTTCTTTTTATTATCCATTATTTCTGATTGTTAATTTTTCTAAAACCATTTTTTTTACTCGAAGGTCTCTTTTTGGTCTTTCCTTTGTGAAAAAAATATAACATCAAGGAGATATTAACATGGAATGAGTAGAGTTACATACAAGTTAAACTAACCTATTTTTAGAAAAAATGACAATTTTAACAAACTTCTACCTAGGTTTTAATTTGCAACTCTTTCTAGGAAAAAGTTACTATGTTTTAGGCATAGGTCCGTCATACAAATCTTTCAAGCCTGAGTATGTACTTGTTACGGCTGTAACCATGGTGGTCTTTAACTTCTCCCTATTGCATTAAGTTGAGAGTTGCTAATAGAGCTCATGAAGTCGCATATGATTCCACTAA